CATACCGGTAAGTTAATGTGGTGATTTTACACTGAATGAAAACGTTTGTCGTTTGATTAAAAAAAAAAAACATATCAAAGAGTTTCTTTTTAAAGTGGTTCAATTTGATCTGAAATCTACTGTAATACAGTTCTGTTATACTTGTCCCATTCTTCATTTCCTTTATTTCTCTGAACAAAAGACTTATCATATGACAGGTATTATATGTTAAGGCTGACCTAGTTATGTTTCTTTCACTGAAGTAAGAATAGTTCCCACTAATGCTAGCTGATGACTATTGTTCTGTCACCATCACTTCTAAAATAAGTTTTACTAGTCAAGGTGCAAATGACAGAGTTGATGTTCTCAAGTTTATTAGAAACATATGTAATTATGATATGATAAAGCAGAAACTGTTGATGGGAGGTTTTTTCCCCACTGGGAAACCTGACATTCTATAGCCATATTTCCAGTTTCCCAGCCCATCACAATGATTTGTCATAACGTCATAGTTCAAACGTAATAGTTTTTGATGATGAAGACATAGTTTCAGTCAACTGAATAATAGCTTGGTAGTTAATAAATCCATGTTATTGTTTAAGTAGTTCAGAGCTCTAAGTAGGGTACTGTGGGAAGTCAGTGCTTAATTTGTTAACCAAACAATGCCGGAAAGCGAATAGCATGTGTGTGTGTGTGTGTGGTGGAGGTGGTGGTGGTGGTGGTGGTGGTGGTGGCGGCAGGGGGGGGGGTCCTCCCGTAGAAAAGTTTTGAATGAAGTAGATGCATTCTGGTGTATTTTAACAGATTGTTAAACATTTAGATTTACCCACATAAATAAACACTTGATTCAATAACTGTTTCAGAGAGCAACAAGAAGTAGCCTGGCGGACAGTAACCCCAACCCACCCACTTTTATTTTAAATTAAATTAAATTGGACAAACTTTTCAACATTTTGATTGCTGTTATTGACAAATTGGTGCCACTGTTTTGATATGTGATGTACGTAATGTGATTACCCATCAAACATTCCTCTCGTATTTTTTTTACAAATAATCAAAATGTTATTAATGACCCACTTAAACTGTCAGACTGATTTGCAATTTAATTGTGCTGTTTAATTATATTTTTGTGTTTTTAATTAAATTGCCCATGACTGTACTTTTAAGGTCGGAGATTTTTTTTAAGGGTAGAAGCAGAAATGCTTATTTGAAGGAGCAGCTGTTATGTTGTATTAAGAAACTATTTAGTGGCTGTTGTGTTTAAAATGAGTGTTTATGTAAATATTTTCAGATTACATATCCAATATGTTTTATTCGTTCAAAGCAGTCAAATTTGTTTATAACTTTATTATTAATAGGCCTGAGAGTTAAAGGATCCAAGAAAACAGTTACTGGAACACACCCTGTCAAAATAAGAAAGTTCCCAGATCCTGTTCCAGCAGGATCCGGCTCAGATTAAGCCCTGGGTATGACTAATCAGTTTTTCCACCTGTTGTAGATAACTCCTCAAACAATTTTACTTTGCAAAACTAGAATTTCATTCCTAACAGATTTATGAACAACAGTACAATTCAATTTAGTTTATTGTTATAGCGCCAAGTCACAACAGAAGTCGTCTCAGGGCACTGAACAGAAACATTCATATATATAAATTAAGTTAATAACATCAGTTATCTGTTTGTGCATGCTAATCAGAGTGAGGCAAAGACCAGAATGGATTGCTGTCATCCTAAAACAAATTGGATGTTAATACTTTCACGGTGGTCCATGTGAACACAATTATATAAACATTTTAGACTGCTTTCATGTTGCATTTCAGTTTTTCTGGCATCCACAGATTGCACTTGCCAACAACAACAAACTACTGTTATTATTAAACTCTATGAAACTATTGAGCTGTTTTCAGATGGGAAAAAAAAATCCACTTTTGTCTTCACTCAGATTAGTTGAGATTGTATCATTCCCATCAAAAATTTTACTATTCCTTCAAACTGAATTGCTCTGAAGAGCTACCTAACATAGACAAGGTGTTAATTGTTCATAACCTCTGCACAGAACCTTGCTTCAAAAGATTTGAACTATTGTTTTAAAGAGTGTTATTTAACCCTTATCTACTGTTTTAAAGTATAATTGCATCAATTTTTCCATTAATTTATAGCTTTAGAATCCTCACAAAAAGTGTTGATAAAGGCTTGTTTATTCAAAGGTATTTCAGCATTATAGATATTTTAGGCAAAACTGTGATGTGATATCCAAATCATCCTACACGTTGTTTTGTAAAAGAAAACAAATATGATCATAAATATGAATGAAACTGTGTGTTTGTCCAGTAGTGAATACATCTTTCTTGTTACATCCAAAAAATGTTGCTGAACTTACCCCCCCCCCCCCACACACACACACACACACACACACACAACACACAAAAACAACCTTTCTGTGACACAACATAGCTTTGCCTCAGGTTAAGCCAGGCCTCAGGTATAGCTCATCACTCAAACCAACGCATAACTGATTCAACCCCAGATAAAGAGTCCCCATCTGAAAACAAAAAGGCCTACCTAACAACATTTTTTACCAAAACTGAAGTTCTCCAGCTTTTTGTTTTCAAACGATATACAAAAAAGCCAGAGTGAAAATTAATAAACATGCATTTTGTTTCCTATAGTTCCTTGTTTTGTTTAGAGAAAAAACATCCATCCATCCATTATCTTTACCCGCTTATTCCATTTTGGGTCACGGGGGTCGCTGGTGCCCATGTCCAGCAATCACTGTGCGAGGGGCGGGGTACACCCTGGACGGGTCGCAAGTCCATCACAGGGCCACATAGAGACAAACGAGACAAACAACCATTCACTCTCTCACTCACACCTAGGGACAATTTAGAGTTACCAATCAGCCTAACATGCATGTTTTTGGTCTGTGGGAGGAAACCGGAGTACCCGGAGAAAACCCACGCATGCACGGAGAGAACATGCAAACTCCACCCAGAAAGGCACCTGGACCGGGGTTTGAACCAGGGACCTGCACGCTGAGAGGCAGCAGCTCTACCAGTTGTGCCACCGTGCTGCCCTAGAGAAAAAACATTTTCCATTAAATGTTTGCATATCTATATATACCTTTATATATACATATATATATATATATATATATGCCTGAGTTATACAAAACAAAGGAAAAAGAAAAGAACTTTTCTGAAAATGTGCACAGAGCTTGATCCATTTGTGCTCAGATTGTGTTAATGATGCCTCTCAGCTACAAAGTACTTCCACACCAAATGGTAGCTCCTTCTCTGTCTCTAATGGACGTATAGCCATTATTGTGTTTGCTAAGGTTGATTTGCTGTGGTAGCCAGGCTGACTTCAAAAGTACGTAGGTAATTTTACCTGACAACAAAATATTTGCACTACTATGAGTCACAGAATCTTATTATAGACTGCAGCTGCATAAGCTTTTACTTTATTCCGCTGCTCTACAGACGCCCCACCCTTACATGCTCTCCCAAAATATGGTTTGACCTATAAAACTTGAAGTTAGTCTATTATTTTTGTTTAACCTAGTATTACTGGCTTTTTAAGCTTTTGTCTCTTATTAGCCGATACATTCAGTGCATTGAATAGTGAGACAAACAGAGACAGAGAGAACAGACCAGACAGGTTTGTCAAGTGGTTTGTTAGAGGTTAAAACGTTGGGAAATTTACTGGAATAAACTGGCTGCAAAATAGATCCCAGTTATTGGAAACCACCCCCTCGAGATGGTGAAAAACAAAACCATGACTCAAAGTTTGGACGTTTTTAGATCCACACAGAAACACCTCATCAAAATGCTACAGCTGTGTCTTCCTGCACAGACATCCCTCTTTCACATCTACAGTAACGTGACTCTGACTTAGTTCCACAGTCAGCAAACAGCAGAACATATATGATTTCATACATAGGTAAAATGAAAATGTATTGTGTTTAATGGCTGTGCTAATGAGATATTTTTTCACCAGTGTTACATTAAACTTTATAGTTTGAAAAACCATTATATGAAATAAAAGAACACTTTCTTAAATCATAATTAAAGTTACTGCAGTATAAAATCTGGTAACTTGTTCAATTCTCTCTCTCTCTCTCTTTTTTTTTTTTTTTTCATTTTTGAGTGACTTGTGTTCATTAATCCTTTCAAAATCATGATCAAAGTTCTCACAGTTTTAGCAAAATCATAGCCACTCATATTAGTTTTTGGATAACATAACTGCGGCTTCAATCCCTATTAACAAAAAGAGTGGGGAAATTTGCTCTGTTATTTGACCATTTTACAATTACTAATGCTCATGTGGTGGCTGAGTGGTTAGAGCAATTGTCCTCCAATGCAAGAGTTGGGAGTTCGACTCCAGCAGCAGCCACATGCTGAAGTGTCCCTGGGCAAGACACTGAACCTCTTATTGCCTCCTATGTGTGTCCCATTGGTGTATGAATGTGAAAAAGCTCTGATTATTCTTTGTATAGATATAGTAGAGAAAATGGGTAATGGGTATGAATGGGTAAATAATAGCACAGATTGTAATGTAAAACACTTTGTGTATCTTGATAAGATAGAAAGGCACTATACAAGTACAGTCCATTTACCATTTACATGTGTAAAGTCAAGCGCTATGCCCCAAATACTTTAATCGCTTCCAGTATTCAAGTTTAGCATTCAACTCTAGTTTAGTAAATGTAAAAATGTGGTGCAGTCAACAGCAGCACAAGAGTAGTGGAGTTGTTTTGGAGCCAAAAGAGTCGATTCTTATTGGTGAACTGAGTCACATGGATCAAATCCCAAAAAAAGAGCCGAAATTCCCACCTCTCCTCATGTGAGATGTTCGCTAACCTGTCTCTAACCAGCCCACCTGAAGCCAAGCATTGGTGGAAAACAATATCAATTAGGAAGGATAGCCAATTAAAGGGATCTTTGTTTGTAGGTAAACCAGTCAAATAACATAAAGTTAAAATAATATATTTATTTTTCACGTCTGGACTAAGCCTCAATTAACATGAAGATACTTTTAGTGAAGCTCCAAAATGGAAACTATAAAGTTTGCCTGATAAAGGTGAGTTTCTCATCCCCACTCAGCTTTTCTTGGTTGTTGTGTTTGAACAGTTTGTATCCATTTGGGCGTGTTAGGGTGTTTTTAGATACGTTTGCTGTAAATTAGTGGCAGCTAGCTTAGCTTTTAGCTTAGCTTAGCTTCATACAATCCCATGATTCATCAGCATCTGTGCCATGTTGTGGTTAAATACCTAAGAATTTACAAAAATGAACAACTTAACCCCACAAGTTTGCTTGAAGGTAGATTAAAATATTCCCTGCAATTTTTGTCTATTATCACTGTTTTAAAAGAAGTCAAAGTGTCACAAAAAGTCCTTTGTTGAATGGTCTGAATGTCTTTGCAAGATTATTAATACAAATTTATATTGAGGCTCATTGGGATTAACCTGTCTAAATAAAGGTTGAATGAATATTCTTGTTTTTTGTCAATTAGGTGCTTTAAAGTTTTTAATCAGAGTTTGTTTACATTTTGACTGTTCTGGGTTGTTTTTTGAAAGACTAATGAAAGTCTGGATTATTATATATATTTTTTTCAAATCAATTAATTGACTTTAAACCTAATTTCTTTCTGTCATCTTTTTTTTTTATGTTTCTAAATAAACAGAAGTTATCTGAAGAAACCATACATAAAATACAACTGCCAACATGTGAGCAGTCCACTTTTTTGTATCCTGGATGAATTTCAGGTCAATCCAATAGTTTTAGATTATAATCCTTTAAACACGCAGTTCAATTAAACCCAGTTATGAGAGAGTTCAGTACGATTTCAGTCAGTCCATTCTTTTAAATTATAATTTGTTTAAAAGTTCTCAAACTAAACCAAAATGTGAATTGTATCTATTTTTTTATTTATTTTTTTTGTGGGGGGGGGATGTTTGTGTTTGCTGTTTTGATTTCCCCACCCCCATGCTTCTTTTCCTTGGTACATTTAACTGTAAGACCCTCAAGGTGACAAAAGACACTGCCACATTACTCTGATCAATGGAAGTGATCTGTAAAGAGGTGAGCTTAGAAAATCTATCAAGTGGCACAGAAACTGCCTGCAGGGTTTGGAGTGATTTAACCCAGAGAGTCACATGGATGAAACGGGACAACTCTGGTTTGCACAAAAACAACATACTGTATTTCATAAGTGCACGACATGTCCTTTCCGACACCTCCCCTGGATATACACACTTGTTTACACCTGTTCAATGTTTTCAAGTGTTTATGGACTGTAAAAACAATTTATTCTTGCATGTACTGAAACGATAAAACAACAAAATGCGTCCAACCAACAAAAACTCGAAAGACTTGTACTGTTGTGCTTCTAGCCCTTCACTCAAAGCACTCGTCGTGTTTTAGCAACACCTGAGCTTATCTCGTGTCTGTTTTTCTGTCATCAGACATCGGCTGAGCTGCCCGAGGAAAGCTCCAAACCTTTGAATCCTAAACGAGCAGGTAAGCTGTTACTTCATTAACTTGTTCGTTTGGGTAGAACTCAAATTTTATTCTAATTCTCTCTTAATCTTTTTGTGTCCTCTATTCTCTGTGCATTCTGTTCTGTCATCTTACATGTCAATCACTGTTGTTTTTCTCTTTTTTTTCCGATTCCAGTTCGAGCTCCAGCTCCTGTTCCAGTTCCTGTTCGACGTCCATTTCGGCGCACAAAGGCCATGACGGCTCCAAAACCTCAGGCAGGCAAGGTGTCGAAGAGGAGGAGAATACTGCTCACTGTTCTGACAGTTGTACTTGTACTAGGCGTACTGGCCACAATAGGATACTTTGGTAAGTCCTTTTCTTTCAGGGTACACATGTACATACAGTAAATTCCAACAAGCCTCTCTTTTGGGTTGCACCAATTGTTTTGCAAGCAACTGGAATCGGTTGATTTATTATTATTTTTATTTTGACTAATATAAAACAAATGAATGGATCAATTGCTAACCTGTTTTCACTAGCAAATGGATGTTTTTCATGTACAGTAGAAGTTTAGTTTTTCTTTATTGAAAATATTGTGCTGGTGAAATTTTAAATAGAGATCTTTATGCCAAAAAAAAAAAAAAAGACATAATTTGGTTTTCGAAGAAATACTGTACTTCTTTTTAACAGTTGGGTTTTTATTTGTACATTTTTCACTATTCAGTACCGCATGATAGTATTTATAGATTTTCATAGAAAGAGGAAGTTCTTGAATCTGGTGCTGTTTTGGAAAATACACAAACTTCTTTTACTGTGACTTCACAAAGCAAGTCACAAAATTTAACTTCTGCCCAAGTGAAAAGTATTTATTAATTATAGTTCTCAGAAAGAAATTCTAACTGGATTAATTTGGACGCAGTATGTTAGAGCTTTGTAAAAATTAGAAATCAGTCTGGAGAACACTGGTTGGTGCATCTCTACTTTGGTTTGGCTTTCATGTGAGAGAATTGTGCACAAAAATGTTAAACTTACTGTATAATGGAAGTCTGTAAACCTGCCTGTGTGAAATAGTCCAACTAAAATAAACGTCTTATCTGCTCTTGCATTTTGTCGCTCCTTTTTTCTTCCAGTTAAACAGCTAATTGATACCAAGTACTTCTTCTGCACAAGCTCAGTGAAGTTCATTCCACTCGAGCTAGCCTGTGATGGGAAGAAAGACTGCAGCGGAGGAGAAGATGAACTCACGTGTTTATCAACATTTACAGAAAACTCTACATTTCCAGGTTAGACCCGACACCTTCTTACTTTGTGTTCAGACAAAACCAAAAGGTGAACGTGACTCATTTCTCCTTCTCGCCGTCATCTCCGTCTCCTTCCAGTACGTCTCTCTTCAGCTCAGAGGATCCTCCAAGTGTACAGTCCCAGTTTAGGCTGGCGGAGTGTGTGCAGTGACGACTGGGCTTCTGAACACACACAGACCACTTGTACACAGCTGGGATACACAAAGTAAGTTTGATCACACTTCCACAGTGTTGCAGTTTTAAAGGAATTACTTGTTTGGCTTCAAATCACAACTAATAAAACCATTTTTGTTCTCACAGTAATCCCGGTAGCACCAGTATCCCAGTGAGCAACTTGTCTTCACTCAGAACTGGACCTTTCACAGCAGTCAGACCTGGGATTAAGAGCACATCCATTGATGAGGCTACATTTGATATGTAAGAATAAACCACATCTGTCAAAATAAAAAAAACTCATAACTTCTTTTTCGGAAAAACTGGTCCATGCTTTTAACATGTTTAGACTGGACGATTGCAATGGTTTATCTTCTTCTTCTTTCGGCTTTTCCCTCTTCAGGGGTCTCCACAGTGAGTCATCCTCCATCACTCTGTCCTCACTCCACCTCCATGTCCTCTCTAACTGCATCCATATATCTCCTCTTTGTCTTTTTCCTGGCAGCTGCATTTTTAACACCCTTCTACCAATATACCCACTGTCCCTCAAGTCCAAACCATCTCAGTCTGGTCTCTCTAACTTTATCTCCCAGTTGTTCAACCTGTGCTGTACCTCTGATGATCTGGGTGTCCAAACACTTCTTCAAAACCTCTTCAGTTGATCCAAAATGCTGCTGCTAGAGTCTTAAACGGAATTAGTAGGAGAGATCATATCTCTCCAGTTTTAATTTCTTTCCATTGGCTCTTCAGAATTTAATTAAAAATCTTACTTCTAACCTACAAAGCCCTCAACAACCTAGCTCCATCTTATATTTGAGATTTTATTGTTCCATATTTTCCCAACAGAGCACTTCGATCTCAGACTGCAGGCTTACTTGCGGTTCCTAGAGTTTCCAAAAGCAGAATGGGAGGAAGATTTTCCAGTTATCAGGCTCCTCTCTTGTGGAACCAACTTCCAGTTTCTGTCCATGAGGCTGACACATTGTCCAGTTTGAAGATTGGCTTTCCTTTTTGATAAATCCTATAGTTAGAGTTGGCTTTTCATTTTGCTATAGGCTTAGACTACTGGAGGACAAATTGACCTAATTTCCTTAAATTAATTGTTACAATTGAATAGTTTTCATTTAATATGTGATTCTGGACCTGCCATTGTGTATCTGTTCCTCCTTCCTGTTCCTCTCAAACCCAGCCGGCCAAAGCAGATGGCCGCTTGTCCAGAGTCTGGTTCTGCTAAAGGTTTTTCCTTTCCACTGTCGCCTGCTTGCTCAAGATGAGAGTTCTGCAGTAAAGTTAAATTCAGTCTGCTCCTCAGATAAATAGTGTTAACTTATTTTTTTATATACTTGTATGAATGTTTCTGATCAGTGCCCTGAGACAACTTCTACTGGGCACTATATAAATAAACTGAATTGAATTGTAACGACCAGTAAGCTAAGCAGCTTGTTGAGAAGTTGTGTTTAGGGCACTTACAAAGTTATTGTCACACTTAAGTATCGGTCTCGGTCGACTACAATGCGATGCTATCTTGAAAAGGTAAATTAAAGTATCGCTGTGTGTAACACTCTCATCAGTTACATCTCTGTTTTCTAGAAAAAAAAATTCCATTTCACACTTCAGTTCTCATTTTCTCTTTTGGGTTTTAACTGTATTTTTGTGGAGTTTCTGTTCCTAAAAGACAAAAAAAGCCCACAGTTTTTCTTCCTCGTGCTTTTATCATTTGAAAGTGAACAAAGAAGGTGCTTTACCGAATCAAAGTAGAAAGAAAATAGGGACATAGTTCAACGTGGGGTAAGATTAGGTCAGGGGAATGAAACTACTGTTTCTGTTTAATGGTCATTGTTGGATTTTAATCATTTCTAACACTATTTTTTGTTGTTTGTGTTTATTTCTAACAGCAAACAGTGTAAAACTGGTTCTGTGATCTCTTTGACATGCTCAGGTAAGTTTTCCTATTAGAATACAAACCACAATAACACAGTTTACATGTTTCATCAGGGTGGGGGTTTGTGGGGGGTGGTAAAGTTGTTTGACAAGTTTCACCCACGTGTCTATACACGCCTACGGTCACCAGAACTCTCGAGCTCCCGTCTTGCCTAATTCTAAAGGGGATGGAAAAATCTAGTTTAAAAACAAGGGTCAAGATGGAGTAATGTACAAAATGTATTCAATAAAAATTATCTGAAGTTGAACATTTTGAATTGTTTTAAAGACTGTGGACAGGGGGGCCCTCAGGACCGTATTGTTGGGGGCACAGATGCTGTCATCGAGCACTGGCCCTGGCAGGTCAGCCTGCAATATACTGGCCAGCATACATGTGGAGGTTCACTGGTGTCGCCGCGCTGGGTCGTCACTGCCGCCCACTGCTTCCCTGAGTCAGTATAACCACCCCGTGCACAGTTTCTTTTAAATGTTTTAACACCAACATCAGATACATGAACAACTTCCTTTGGTTCCGCTTGTGGTCGTCGCAGGAATAAACGGGTGCTGAGTCGGTGGAGCGTGATGTCAGGACAGACGTACATGATCTCGGGGGGTTCTTCTGTGGACAGGATCATAATAAATGGAAAATACAACGCAGACAAAAACGACTACGACATGGCCCTGATGAGGCTGACGAGCCCGATCACAGTGGGAGGTCAGGCTTTAATTTTAACATTTACAAACATTTAAACAGTTTAAATCAACTTTTTCTAGGTTGTTTTTTTTTTGGCTACAAATGCAGAAACATGTTTAGTAGGCTTTGCTGCCCTCTAGTGGTCAGCATGCCAAACATTTAGTTTGAGACAATTTAGTCAGTTGAATCATTTCTAATGTAGCTTGTAACAGTAATCCTGAATGCTTCAGTACAAGACCGTTTTATTTAACCTTCCTACCTGCAGTATAATGAAACATGTCCCATTTTCAAACTGTTTGCCAGTTAAGCGCCTGCCAGTGTGTCTCCCTCCAAAAGACCTGAACGTAGCCGACGACGCCCCGCTGGTTGTGACAGGCTGGGGATTACTGGAAGAAAATGGTGAGAAACGAGCACTACAGCCCAGTGAACCCTTTTCAATTTCATTTTGAAATGGGAGCCTCCTATTATTATTATTATTTTTTTTTAAACTGGTCATTGTTCTTCCTCCAGGCAAGGCCTCTTCCACGCTGCAGAAGGCTGATATCAATCTGATCAGTCGGAGTACGTGTTCCAGTGCAAGCATCTACGGTTCTTACATTACACAAAGAATGATCTGTGCTGGTAATCTGAAAGGTGGTGTGGATGCCTGCCAGGTAATAAACCAGTTTCAAGCTAGTCAATGATTTCAAACAACCTGAACAGTCGTCTCGTTTTTTTCTTTCCTTAAGAAAAACGTATAAATCTAAAAAAATTGTGTTTTGAACTCCAGGGCGACAGTGGAGGCCCTTTGGTGTACGACGCCTCTTCTCATTGGAATCTGGTCGGAGCGGTGAGCTGGGGTGTCGGCTGTGCAAACGCAAACAGGCCCGGTGTTTACACAAACGTGGACGACATGCTGAACTGGATCTATACAGTCATCGAGGTACTGCACACAGTACAGATACTTACTGATACAGTATATGTATCAGTTAGCTCCACTGAAGAAAAACGTTTATGTATTTTTTTCTTAAAAGAAAGCTAAAGTTTTTCTTGGAGCCTTAAGTGGAATAAGAACTGAAACATTTACTTCCTTCCTTCCTTCCTTTATAATCGCTTCTTTCTCTTTCCAGAAAAACCCTTGATGTTAACAGTGACCACAGTCATCACAAGACTCCAGTCCAGTGTACCTCAGACTGAAACTGAAGGACAATGGTTTTGTTTCAGTGGCTGTTTTTAAAAGGGAAGCTATGACCAGCTGCAAACATTGCACACATACAGACGTATTTCAGGTGTTTGTGCCATTTCAGTTATCTCAGGGGACTGGTAAAGTTTGATCTGTTTGGTTCAGATTGCAGACATAAACTTGTTTTACCTCTTGAAATGCTGTAACTCGACCTAAATAAGAAAAAGCTTTGTCAAGAAGTCAAAGGAGTGAGTGTGAGCGATCAGATTCCTCTTACGTTTTTACATCTAAGACAGGAATGCCTCTTTTCTTCTACAGCATGATTCATATCAGCACTTTAATTAAACATTTGTTACTTGACTTTACAGCATGTGAAGATGGGTCAAAAAACTCAGTGAAAATTGCACTGAATAAAGAAAAACACATTTGCTGACAGGTGTTCAGATTTCCAGTGTAAGAACAGACTGCTTGTAGAAAACTCAACTATGGCCACTGGATTGTTCTCTCCACTTGTAACGATTTATCCTCAATGTTAAAATTCCTGCACTTAATCAAATGTGTTGTTTTGTTTAAGTGATTCAAGTTAAACTGTGTTGACTCCACAGAGATCTAATCAAGTATGGATTGACGTTTTGCACTGAAATGTTGTATATTGTAGTTTGAGTTTCATAAGGTTTTAATTCAGTGAGTCTTGGTGACTGCATTTTGTTTTCACTTTTTTAATACCTGTAACTAACTTGTAAATATAATAAACTTCTTAAAAGTACCATTATGGCATTGGTAATTTTGTGAAATAATCTTTGAAAATGTTGAGTTTCGTTCAGTCATCCTCCCCAAAGGTAACGCTAGGAACAAAAACTTCACAAAACTGTTTAAATTCTGAACAAATGTTCATATAAAAGTCATTTTTCATAGTTGATTAAATGACCAAGTATTTATCTCACATTTAATTCTCACTTCCATTTAGTGCATAGAATAAACTACTGACTTATTTCCTGTTGCATCAGTTTTAGCAGCAATGAAAAGCACATGACTACTATTTACACGTTTTCATCATCAGATCAGTTGTGATGAAACTCAGCTGGGATGTTGGAACAAACTAAAACCATCAAGGGAAATACCGTTTTATTTCCAGAAAATCTGACAGAAAACACTCACAGGTCCAGTTTACATGACAGTAAAGTCTACTAGCAGGGGTTGGTGGTGGAAAGCAAAACAATTAAAACTCAACTTTACTATTTCTCTTCATAAAAAAACATTTCAGTATTAATCTTTGATCAGAATACAAATTATTAGATAATATCTTAAGCAACAATGGCAAATATTGTAAACATTAAGAAATTTGAAGCAGTCTTTGTTTTAAATGAACCGTTTGAACTCGGCGTGTAAAAGATGCACTTGTTATCTTCTGGAAGAACGTTTGGAGCCTTTGAATGGATCATCCTGTATTAAAAAAATAATTTAAATGTTAGGAAAACATTGAAGACTGCACATATATGTGGTTTTTTTTTTTTAGTAATGTGCGTTTTTTTTTTCAGGATATGTAAAAGATTTTGGTATTTTCAATTTAGACCCATTTATTTTCCTTCTATTCACTTTTTTACTGATCAATTCATCACAAATAATAAAACAAGAGTCTGTGCTCCTAAACTTTAACTACAAAGCCATTTTATTTTCACTTTTTAAAAAAAAATTACCTCATCATCACTATCGTTAAATGTAACTCCTCGGGACGACTGGCTCTGGCTTTGAGAACTGTACTTCGAAAAGGAAGATGATGATGAAGGCCTGTGTTGGACAAAAAACAAGGTATAGCCAGGAGGAATAATATAAAAATAATTTAGGATTTTTTTTCTTCCTTAAAATTAGACTAGAATTAAAAAAACAAACCTTGGAGGTGGCTTAGTGGCTCTGATAGGAATATCTTCATCTGAGTCATCTATGGTCAACTGATGATGGCCAAAGAGGAGAGAGGAGGTTAGAGGATGAAGACTTAGTCTAAAAATAAAAGGTTATTTGTGTGTCATTATTCTGCCAACATTAAGCTGTGATGGAAATAAATTGTAGTTTGTACGAGAAGATGACATTCTTGACCCGAGCTGCAGATGACAGCGCATCATAAGCTTTGTCAACTGAGGAAATGTCACTATGTTTGCCTTTAATCGTTCAAACTACAAAAATACAACTCCCATTTGAGAATAAAACTACAACTCAAAAACTACAAAGCCAAATTTTACAAAGCTTGGTTGGGAGTTGGGCAACAAAGGAACTCGTTCGATTTTGTGACAATTGGGTTCATGTTCAGCGAAGTTGCAAAACACAGCCCCGTCTCTTGATAAAGGACGTGATATTTAACATGTTTATGATTCAGTTTACTTCATCTGCTGCAAAAGATCTGCTGGCTCCAGCCTGAGACCTCGAGGACGCAACCTGAAAGGCTGAGACAGACAAAAGCGTTAAAGGGATCAAGGTAGTAGTTTGATTAATTTCTGCTTTATATCTGGGCCCCTACCCTGCATGATGCTACTGCTTTGGCTTGCTGCAGAAGATTTCTGGGAACGAGCACGGCCAGCTGGTTTTGCTTCTGAAGCAGCGCCTGGATGGACAACAATGGAATATCATACTTGGAAAAAAAAACAAAAAAAAAACATGTTTGCATTGTAACATCAGATTATTAAATGGTTGCCAGAACTAAATCACATCCTGTGCACAAGAAATAAAATACTGTCATTAAAACCTGTCTGACCATTAAGTTGACAAGAGAAAGACAAAAACCATCACCTGTGAACTGATATGCATGCAGATTCAGGAACTGGGACTTGGTCCAAAGAGATTTCACTTTCAATGTAGGAATTCAAAATAACTGACATTAACAATAAAGCTTTATTTTAGAGGCATGTTAGGATGCCTTGATCCCAATTATTTAAGTATCATATTTATTTTATCTTATCAATAAAACGGTTTTCATCTGTACTGTCCAACCGGTAGGAGGCCGGATCCAGAAGTCACGGGAGGGATGGAGTATCTTCTCTGGACTGGGAACGTCACACGGTCCCCGAGAACGAGCTGGAAAGTGTTACTGGGGAGAGAGATGTCTGGGTTTCTCTCCTGGACCTGTTACCTCCGCGACCTGACTATGTATAAGCGGTAGAAGATGGATGATCTTCATCTGTATGAAAACCACTAGTAAAAACTGATTCTTCTTCTTCTTCTTCTTCTTTTGGCTTTTCCCTCTTGAGGGGTCTCCACAGTGAGTCATCCTCCTCCATCCCTCTGTCCTCATCATTCTCTGTCCTCACTCCAACTACCTCCATGTCCTCTCTAACTGCATCCATATATCTCCTCTTTGTCTTTTTCCTGGCAGCTGCATTTCTAACATCCTTCTACCAGTATACCCACTGTCCCTCCTCTGGACATGTCCAAACCATCTCAGTCAGGTCTCTCTAACTTTATCTCCCAGTTGTTCAACCTGTGCTGTACCTCAGATGATCTCATTCCTCATCTTATCCATCCTTGTCACTCCTAAGAAGAACCTCAACATCTTCATTTCTGCCACTTCCAGTTCTTTCTCCTGTATTTTTGTCCATGTCTCTGTCTCCATACCATACAACATAGCTGGTCTCACCACTGTCTTGTAAACTTTTCATTTGACCTTTGCTCACACCATTTTGTCACAAATCACTCCTGAAACTTTTCTCCTTCCACTCCATCCTGCCTGGACTCAAGTGATTAAACATTCATATAGGCCTGTCACGATAAACAAAAAAAAACAATTAATCTCGTGATAAATGAAAATTATTGACCTCATTTTCATTTATCAACTTTATCATTTCTTTGTGTCTCTCTCTTTATACTGAAGACACTGGATGACAAAAGGCTCAACTCCGGTGCTCTTCACTGACCCTTCCCTTTCTCTTTAAAATCCATTTTAACAATCCAAATTTGCATTTTTAGATCATTAAAAGCAGCTAAGCTGAGAAGCTAAGCTAACAGGCCGACCTCAGTAAAAAACCTCTGTCTTGTCAAAGCTCCAAAATTCACGGTTGAAACCTGTGCCTTTGTCTAAAAAGTTTTTCTCTGCAAAAATAAGCTGAGAACTTGTTTACTGATTTTTTTTACAAACCGGATTCCAAAAAAGTTGGGACACTAAACAAATTGTGAATAAAAACTGAATGCAATGATGTGGAGATGGCAAATGTCAATATTTTATTCATAATATAACATAGATGACAGATCAAAAGTTTAATCTGAGTAAATGTAACATTTTAAAGGAAAAATATGTTGATTCAAAAGTTCACAGTGTCAACAAATCCCAAAAAAGTTGGGACAAGTAGCAATAAGTGGCTGGAAAAAGGAAATTGCGCATATAACGAACAGCTGGAAGACCAATTAACACTAATTAGGTCAACTGACAACATGATTGGGTATAAAAAGAGCTTCTCAGAGTGTCAGTGTCTCTCAGAAGCCAAGATGGTAAGAGGATCACCAATTCCACCATTGTTGCACAGAAAGATAGTGCAGCAATACAAGAATGGTGTTACCCAGCGTAAAATAGCAAAGACTTTTAAGTTATCATCATCAACCGTGCATAACATCATCAAACGATTCAGAGAATCTGGAACAATCGCTGTGCGTAAGGGTCAAGGCCATAAAACTCTACTGGATGCTCATGATCTCCGGGCCCTTAAACGTCACTGCACCTCAAACAGGAATGCCACTGTCAAGGAAATAACAGAATGGGCTCAGGAATACTTCCAGAAAGCATTGTCAGTTAACACAATCCACCGTGCCATCTGCTGTTGCCAGCTGAAACTCTACAGTGCAAAGAGGAAGCCATTTCTAAGCAAGCTCCACAAGCTCAGACGTTTGCACTGGGCCAGGGGTCATTTAAAATGGAGTGTGGCAAAATGGAAGACTGTTCTGTGGTCAGATGAGTCACGATTTGAAGTTCTTTATGGAACACTGGGACGCCATGTCATCCGGACCAGAGAGGACAAGGATAGCCCAAGTTGTTATCAACACTCCGTTCAGAAGCCTGCATCACTGATGGTATGGGGTTGCATGAGCGCTTGTGGCATGGGCAGCTTGCATGTCTGGAAAGGCACCATTAATGCAGAGAACTATGTTCAGGTTCTAGAACAACATATGCTCCCATCTAGACCATACCATACCAATTTATTTATATAGCACTTAAAACAACAACAAGGCCAACCAAATTGCTGTACAAAAGAACACACACATGCACAGCAGACAGGAAAACATAAAATAGAAATACAGATACAAATAGCAGCAGAAGCTAACTAAAATGGCCAACAGAGTAAAGAACAGACCGGGCCAAAACAAATCACACCGTGTTAAAGGCAAGCGAATAGAAGTGGGTCTTCAAGCGAGACTTAAAGACTGAGAGTGTGGGAGCATGCCGGACACTCAGTGGCAACTCATTCCACAGTCGTGGACCTGCAACAGAGAAAGCCCTGTCACCCCTGAGCTTACGACGGGTTTCTGGGACTGAGAGAAGCATCTGGTCTGCTGACCTCAGAGACGTCATCTCTTTCAGGGAAGACCCTGCATTTTTCAACACGATAATGCCAGACCACATTCTGCAGCAATCACAACATCATGGCTACGTAGGAGAAGGATCCAGGTACTGAAATGGCCAGCCTGCAGTCCAGAGCTTTCACCTATAGAGAACATTTGGCCCATCATAAAGAGGAAGGTGCGACAAAGAAGGCCCAAGATGATTGAACAGTTAGAGGCCTGTATTAGACATGAATGGGAGAGCATTCCTATTTCTAAACTTGAGAAACTGGTCTCCTCTGTCCCCAGACGTCTGTTGAGTGTTGTAAGAAGAAGGGGGGATGCCACACAGTGGTAAAAATGGACTTGTCCCAACTTTTTTGGGATTTGTTGACGCCATGAAATTTGAAAACAACAGATTTTTCCCTTAAAATGATTCATTCTCGCAGTTTAAACTTTTGATCTGTGATTTGTGTTCTATTCTGAATAAAATATTAGATGTTGGCACCTCCACATCATTGCATTCAGTTTTTATTCACAATTTGTTTAGTGTCCCAACTTTTTTGGAATCTGGTTTGTATTAAAAGCTTTGTGTGAAAACTGCTATGCTAAAGAGATCAAACCACACCGAGCGTCCGCAATTTTGAGAACCAAAGGGAGACAGTATATGTCGTCAAGGGGCCTTCCTCTCATTTTTCTTAAAAAAGAGATACTGCTCACTCCCTCACTATCCATCCATTGGTTCAAACAGTCTTATACTGCCATTCGGTGGTCATAAAAAACATACTACACTCAAAATAAATTAAACATTCCTACTTAAATTTGACAATAATTACAAATTATTGTATTATATTATATTTATAATAATTACTAATTATTGTCAAATTTCAAACAATATTATCGTTTATCGCAATAATTTCTGAGACAATTAATCGCCCAGCAAAATTTGTTATCGTGACAGGCCTACATTCATATTGTGTTGGTGGCATGTGTAGGTCTTCAGGCTGAACAAGTCTAGTATGACACTCTCTGTTGCCTCTGATACACATGAAGGGTGACATTTGTCGTCTGTCGTTTCTTTGGTCTCTCTTTACTGCCAGCTCTTCGTTCCTCACCTTCTCTGTCTTCTGAATGCCCTGTCTGATATTCAGACGCCAGGCTGTACGGTCATCTGCACAACTTCATGTCTCTTTTTACAGACATCTTTACAGTCCCAACGGTTTGAGAGCCTTTGGCTAGCTCACCGTACAGCAGACATTTGGTAATGCAAACTGCGTCTGTTCTTCTGGAGTGGCCCAGCCTTCATAGGCGCCTTCCTCTGAGATTAGGGAACATGCTGTTCATGCTGGCACCTCTGTGTTGGGCACCCGATCCTGTGGCATGTTACTGAAACCATATGTGTCCATAAACAATTCAACTGCTTGTACTAAGATGGTACAAAAGCATGGAAATGTTCTGTTTGATTGTGCTTTTCTATGTTATGCATAGATATTAGTCAAGTAGTACATAATAATTTGTGAAACCCGCCAGGTCTCTCTTGTAAATGAGTCCTAGAGGCTCAATGGGATTAACCTGTCTAAATAAAAGTTGAATGAAAAAAATACATTCAATTATTTGTTTAAATGAAAAAATGATAAATTTTTCCCCAAAACAACCACAAAAGGCTTAAAATGTTGAAACATGACCTTGAAATAAATCTAAACCCTTAAATAAATCTTAGAACGTGTACGTAGCACTCTCACCTCTGCCCCTGCCTCGACCTCCTCTTCCTCTTCCTCTCCCTCCTCGGCCTCTGCCTCGTGCAGGAGCAGGAAACATAACAGAACTATCATCATCGGAGTTCACGGGAACATCTGCAAGCTCATCAGACATATTGTGATCTCTATCCACATCACCACGCTCCTTCCGGTGAGCTTTGGCTCTACTGAAGGCCTGAGAAAGACAGTAATAATAAACAGCACTGAAGCAGCTTTTCAGAGTTTGGGTGAACTTTTTACATACTTCTCTAATGTCGTTCTCTTCTTCGGTCGTGTTCTTTTTGGAGTCTTTGAACAGCCGAACCTGAAAATATACAACTATGGGCTTTAAATTTTACCAAGCATGAAGTTCAACCTGGAATGTTGGTAACACCGTAGTCTTGCCTCCGCATCTATATCCTGCTCTGTGATCACTCCTCTGGCCTGAAGGTGGCGTTGTGTTTTCTCTAACTGGTAGGAGATGAGCTCCTCGATGGCCTCTTTCTCGTCTTTGTCTACAAACTCCTGAATGGCTTTTCCCATGCCCTGCTCGGTCAGCAGGGATAGCTGGACCTTCTGTAAAAACACACACAGATAGTCAAAACACTAGATGGAAACAAAAGGTGAAAACTTGCGTTTATTGTCGGCATTTGTTTTTATGTTCAACGCACCTGCTCTGCTGCCTCAAAGTACTGTTTAACTAGGTCCTCCACCCTCAGGCCTTCAACTGCAGATGGTTTTATCAGCTTGCCATAGTCAATATTCATCTCATCTAAAAGTTTAATGAATAAAACATTTCACAGGGAAAACATCAGATGCCTTGTTTAACTAAAGGTTTAATTACCATACTTTACGGCCTATAAGTCTCAGTTTTTTGCATAAGTTACATACCCTGCAGCTTGTAGGCTGAAGTGACATATTTTTGGATTTTTTCCATTTATAAACCATTTTTTGGCTGAGATATGACCGTTTTCATTCATTCTGACTGAAAAAAAATAATTGAGCAATACCACTTTCAGCCACTTGACAGCAGCAGAGTAGAAATAGTTGTATGGCATGCTGTTGTATCATGTAATAGGTAAACGTGGCTATAATGACAAATTCAAAAAAGTTCAAGACAAAAACAACTGGACTTTATTTATTATACTTCACTTTATATTTTATTGTTTTTTTCTTCTGAAACTTTTTTGAATTTACCACGTCCTGGATGACTGAGAATCTTCCCCAGCTATTAATGACTCAATCGGCCTGCTACAGTCTTCCCACCTGCATTCTGCTCGCTGCTTGGAACCGTCAAAACAGCTGCACCTCCCCAGTTAAATGCAGCTAATTTGACCATTAAAGTGCATTTATTAAGCAAAAGTTCGACTGAGACACACCTTTGCTATAATTTCGTGCAAACAAATATTTGTTTAGGTGCTTTCGTGTTAATTTTCGGAGAAACGAGCCGCGTTACTTCTTCCTTTTCTCTTCCTCTGTGCGTTCACGGAGCACCTCAGCAGCAAAACTATTTTTAAAAAACAGCTGATTTAACCATTAAAATGCATTTATTAAGCAAATGTTAGACTGAGACACACCTTTGCTATAATTTCAAGCAAACAAATATATTTTAGGTGGTTATCTTGTTAAATTTTAAAGAAATGCAGCGGCTGCCCCAGCTGCGCGTGCCCGCTTTGCAGCACCAGGGCAGATAAACTGTTTTAAAATACAGCTGATTTGACCATCAAAGTGCATTTATTAAGCAAAAGTTAGATTGATACACACACTTAATATAATTTCGAGCAAACAAATAGTTGTTTTGAGGCGTTTATCTTGTTAAATGTGCACAGTGGCTCATCACTTGCACGCGTTTACTTCGGTGTATTGGGTTTTGAAATGCAGCTGATTTGACCCTCAAAGTGCATTTATTAAACAAAAGTTAGATTGAGACACACATTTAATATAATTTCGAGCAAACAAAAGTGTTAATCTTGTTAAAATCTTGTTAAGAGTCCTCCCGTGCACGCTCCCGTGGCCACCATTTGGCAGCCCATTGGTTTATGGCACAACACCGGTCTACATTTCCCGGTTCGGCCCACACTTCCGGGTTGTCAGTGGTGACGTGTAACAAACGTGAAGCGTCAACGGTGGTGACGCATAATAGATGTGATGTATAAGGTGAAGAGACACATTTATGGATCTTTCCACTTTATTAGACAAATATGGACTGATGCGACTTATAGGGCAGAGTGACGTGTACGGTGGAAAATAAGGTAAATGCTAAAATCTTAATAAAAGTGTATTTAGTCTGAGTCAGACCTTTGATGTCCTCCTTTTGCTCACGCTTCCTGAGGAAGTGAATGATGTCTTTTGGGTTGGCCAGGCGGTCCACAAACTTCTGACTAAAGCGAGAGGTGTTAAACGTCTCAAAACCTCCACTGTAGTCCACCTGGCAAAGTAATAAAGAATTCAGTTCAGTTAAATTCAGTTGATTTATATAGCGCCAAGTCACAACAGAGTCATCTCAGGGCACTGAACAGAAACATTCAAATAACATTAATCATCTGAGGAGCAGACTGCTTTGAGTTGAACATCACAGAACTCTCATCTTGAACAAGCATGAAGGCGACAGTGGAAAGGAAAAACTCCCTCAGGAGGAAGAAACCTTTCGCAGAACCAGGCTCAGGACAAGTGGCCATCTGCTTCGACCGGCTGGGTTTGAGAGGAACAGGAAGGAGGAACAGATACACAATGGCAGATCAAGAATCACGTTAAGATAGAAATAATATCAAATGTAAACTATTCAATTGTAACTATTCATTTGAAGAAATTAGGTCAATTTGTCCTCTAGTAGTCTAAGTCTATAGCAGCATAACAAGTCAACCCCAACTATAGGATTTATCAAAAAAGAAAGTCTTAAGCTCAGTCTTAAAACTAGACAATGAGTCAGCCTCATGAACAGAAACTGGAAGTTGGTTCCACAAGAGAGGAGCCTGAGAACTGAAAGATCTTCCTCCCATTCTGCTTTTGGAAACTAGGAACTGCAAGTAAACCTGCAGTCTGAGAGCGAAGTGCTCTGTTATGAAAATACGGAACAATAAGATCTCTAATATAAGATGGAGCTAGGTTGTTGAGGGCTTTGTAGGTTAGAAGTAAGATTTTGAATTCTGAATTTGACAGGGAGCCAATGGAGAGAAGCTAAAAGTGGAGAGGTATGATCTCTCCCACTAACTCCAGTTAAGACTCTGGCAAAGAATGAATTCAGAGATCCCACACAGTTCTTACTTCAAAACTTCAAACTTGTAATACCTCGTTGTTTTGTCTGGTTTTAGGTCATTTAAAGGTCCAAGTACAAGCCTTTCCTCTGTGTGTACAAAATAGAAATAGACAGTAGTTGTCTGATGTTCTTATCACAGGGTTTAAGTTTACTTTAATATAATGTCAGATTATCAAATTATGTTCCAACTCAGAGTCGAACAGAAAAAAGCAACGCTTCAGATGGAGTTGTGACTGACAACTTGTATAAATATGTGCAGTTTATGGCAAATGTTCATTTTATTATCTTTAGTATTTTATATATTGTTTTTTAAAGAGCACATATTTTAACTTGAGGGTCACAAAGTGTTTTACAGTTTGAACTAAAAATGTAACTCAATGTAAGTCCATCTTTTACATATTATAAATATAAAAAGCACTCTGCTTGTTGTTAAGCATTTTTGTTTATAGAAATTCAAACAGTTGTGTTTTAGAAAACAGAATAGCAAATAAAGTCTTAAAAATAAAGGTGCCTTTTCATACAATGCTGGAAATCACCAACAGCAAATTATACACTTTCCCCATACTTCTTATGAGTGTATCAGAACCCTTTTATTTTGATGGCAAGGTCAAGATGCAGATAAAGGTTGAACCCAACTCACCCGCAGTCGAATTAAAGGTTTCTCTGGTGTAAGCGGACATCCAAGCCTATCCCTCTCTGCTTCCTCCAGCATCTCTGTGACCTACACAATGACAGACAGACACAGAGACAGATGAGGTTGGGCAGAATATAAAAAGTGAAATGAATGCAACACAATTTATGAGAAGTTAAGTTACCTTTGCATAGCAGAAGTCCTCCACCTTCTTTGTGACCTGAGGTGTATCAGGTGTGAAACGGTCTTCATAGTCGGCCAGCACCACATCCTGAATGAAGAACTGGCGAACAGTCTTTAAGGGGATCTTCTGCAGGTTCATCTTACGCCCTTTCACTCTCAGCAGTCCGATATGTCTAGAGAAACAAGAACAGATGCAAATGAAATCTGCTGTTATATAAAATAAGATCTGAATTTAGAAACAACTAGAGAAAATGCATTTCCTGTGAAAAAGCAGGGTGGATGCTTATTGCTGAAGAACTTGCTGAAAACAGCTGAAATTAGTTAAAAACATGCTGAAACGTAGCTGAAATGGAAGAACAAGCTTAAGTTAACAAAAGAAAGCAGAAAGAACACTTATTTGCTGAATTTGGTTTAAATAACGGAAAGCACAAATAAGCACAAAAATGTGTAAATTGGCTAAAAAAAAAGGCTGGAATTAGCAGAAATTGCTGAAAAGTAGCTGAAAAGCCAGAAAGAAGCTTAAATACCACAAGGAAGTGGAGAGAGCAAAAGTGTGCCCAATTGGGCTGAACAAAGCAAAAATGAGCACAAAAAATGGAAATTATTTGAAAAAAGCAGCAATTTGCAAAAAAATAAAAATAAAAATAAAACCCAGCTGAATAGTAGCTAAAAGGCTGAAAGACCCTTAAATAACCAGAAGACAGTGGAGTGCACAATTGTGCTCAGTTAGGCTGAAATAAGCAGAAATTAGCGCAAAAAAGTGGAAATTATCTGAAAAAGCAGAAATATGAAAAAACAAAATGAAACAACAGCTAAATAGTAGCTTAAAAAGCAGAAAGAAGCTTAAATTACCAGAATGAAGTAGAGGGAGCACTTTTTTTGCTGAATTAGGATGAAAAAGGTTTAAATGAGTGCAAAAAATTTGGAATTAGCAGAAAATGTTCAATTTAGCATAAAAGAGCTAAACAGTAGCTGAAATAATAGAATTAGTTGAAATGCAGAAATAAGCTGAAAAGAAGCTGAAATTAGCAGAAAAAAGTTGGAAGAAGCACAAAAATGTTGTAGTTAACTGAATAACGCAGAAAGGAGCACAAAACAGCTGAAATTAACTGAACTTTTTTTATTTGCACAAGGAAGCTGAAAGAAGCTGAACCGTAACAAAATGTGAAAGGAGCAGTAAAAGGTTGTAAATAGATCTAAAGATTTGAAGGATGTAAAATGAGCTCAATTCATTTCCTATGAGAAAAAAAGTGGCAGAAAAGGCTAAATATTTCAAAAAGCTAAAGTTGCACCAATACCAAAAGCTATAACACTTCTCCTAAACGAGCTGAACGTTTTGATTTATGACTTGTTGAAATAGCACAATAAATCGTGGAACAAGAAAGATGTCGATAAACGTACAGAAGAAAAATTGATCACAATAGTGTGAACGCTTCATAAACATTCACACAATTATTCAGAATGTGTGTGTGTGTGTGTATGTTACTTCTTGGCAGCCTCTCCAGGGGACAGAGAGGTGGCTACAGAGCTGCCTGGCTGCGTCACGTAGAAGAGCTGTTGCTCATTTCTGGATGGTGTAATCAAACATTCATGTTCATGACCCCACACCACCAGGTCAAGAAAGTCATCTAGAAACTGCTCAGGAATGTAGTTTGTGGGTCCGTGCTTACTCCTAAACATACAAACAGACGCAAGTCAAGAAAATGCACAAGAGGTTTAATTTGGTTATTTGGTTGATTTTTTTATATTGTTATGCTCTCTTTAGTCTCAAACCTACTCTTACAGTGTTTGTGAATGTTCTGAAGTCTCTATAAATTAATTTATAGAATTAATAGAAATGTGAAAGATTGGACTTTACCACGCATGTTTTTGCACAAACCTATTTTGGTGGATGGCAAACAGGTTAAACCATTCATCTAGGTCTTCTTTGGGCCGAAGCATGGTAACCTGCTTGTTGACAAACATCCTGTACAACCGCTCATCTGGAATGGAACCTTGACACAAAATCATAAAAAAAAATTGAAAAAGAAAAATGCTATATAATTAATATGATGATACCAGATGAAATAAACCAACGGGGTAGAGATATCTTATCTCCTGTATTAAGAGTATTTCTGATTGGCCAAAAATATAATTGGCAGGCAAAGTATAGATGAATGCACTTAGAATATAAAAGTCTACAATTTATTGAACTCTAAACAGTTCTTTGTAGGGATGCACGATATTATCGACATGGTATTGGTATTGGCCGATATTAGCGTTAAAGTTTAATATCGGACATCGGCCATTCCATTAAAATAACTCGCCGATATGAAAGGCACTGTTTTTGCCTGCAGCGGCAGCACAACGTGTTGATGTCACGTGCGCCTACCCGATCTCACGGCGGAAAGGAAAATTCAAAATGTCGGCAGTGTGGAAGTTTTATTTTTCGTTGGTGAGGATGTTGGATTCTGAAGATTTATGGACAACGTTGAGCCTCGCTACATCGTCCGCAGTCAGAGATATTTTTCCGATGTAATGTTACCCGAGTTACAATCTGTCATTTCCGACGTCATTGAGAAGCTGATAGCCGATAGCACGACTTGTTGGGTGAGTTTTACCACAGACATTTGGACGTCGTGTTAGCCCCGTTAGCATGATTAGTCTTACGACACAATGGATAGAAAAAACTTTGAACTTAAAAAGTCTGTCCTTCATGCACAGGAGTGCAGAGGAACCCACACTACAGCTAGGAATCTGGAACAAGCCTCGACAGGTGAGACAGCATCACAGGTGACTAATGCTAATCAATAATATTTAACACTTTTCATTTAATATAAGTTAAAGTGCTATGCATATCATGTGGCTGTTACAGAATATATGTCACCAGCTCTTACAGCTGTTGCACAATTTTTATAGAAAATAAGCCTAAATAAGAGGAACATGTTCTGACAAATTAAAGTATATAAAGTATTGGTATCGGTTATCGGCCAAATAAGTTTTAACATATCAGCATATCGGATATCCGCCAAAAATCCAATATCGTACATCCCTAGTTCTTTGTGTTACTGATATTGAGAACAATAAAGTTTTGGTATATGGTGCAGCCGAAGGTAAGGCAAAGATGTACACTACTGGTTCTTGAAAAAAACAAACTCACCAAGACCATAAAGGGCCAACTTGGTGCTGCCTTTCTGCAAGAGGACAGGACTCATCTCTATCCTCTCCACTGACTGGGAGTGGCCGAAGTGATTGACGAGACCAGAAGCACTTAGCAGATCCAGTGCGCACAAACCTTCCGCCTTTAAACAAATAAAGATATCAAGACACACTAATGCAAACCCAGCAGAAATGCACATACTGGAAAAGGACAACTCACCCCAGTTGGGTCATCATGGTTGCCATGAATGCTGAACACAGGAATAGAGATGTTCAGGTTTTCATCCTGATAGTTCACCCACGGGAACCTAAAAGAAAAATCACATGTAATTTATTTAATACTCATACAAGTCTGATTGACAGAGCAGAGCATAATAAAAGAAAGACAACTTACTTGGTTGTGTTGAAGTTGATGGTCTGGTCACTGAGGATGTTAAAGGTTACCGGGGAGTCTCCCATGCAGTATTTCCTGAGCATGGTGATGCTACTGTGGAGGCACCGCCGTGACGGCTTGTTCTCATGAAACAAATCTCCCCCCAAGAGGATGAAATCAACCTGCCAAAAGACGCGAAAGGAAAAATGGAGAGTATTTGTTTAAAATGAGCAAATGAACAAAAGGGAGACCCATGCAAGGAAACTATATTTATATTTTAAATCAACTAAATAATTACATTCACATCTACTAAACGCACCTGATTTGTCTTTGCACAATTCAGGATTTCATCCAGTGTGTTGTAGGTGTCACTGCCACGGATCGCATCTTTCTCAAGATAACCGAGGTGAATGTCTGTCGCAATCAGGATCTTAAACGTGTCCTCATCATCCCTGGAAAATAGTTCGTATTACAAAGAAATACAGCTCATTAATTTGTTTACAATGTGAACTTAAGTACATCTTATTGGAATGTGGCTATTTATAACCTCAATAAAGATTTTTTTTAATGTGTTCTTAGATTTGAGAGGAAATTTAAATAAACTCACAAGGTTCTCTCTGAAGACATGATGGTGCTACAAACTGAAGAATCAGTTTAAACCTGGAAACTTGTCAGCAACTGGGTCTCCTGCACAGAATATAACCCAAAACATGTCAATTCAATTCAGTTCAACTTTATGTTTTCACATTATATGTTTTTCTTAGTTCATATCTTAGATGTTATCATTGTTTTTATTGTACATTTTATTGTTGGATGTAACTGGGACCCTGTGTACATAATTTCGTTCCACCACAAGTACCACATGTGGTGGAACGACAATAAAAAAATCTCTGACAATGACTTTATTGTCCATGACATTCCATGAAATGGAAATTTATCTTTGACATCTGGCTTATAAAAAAAAAAAAAATACAAGTTAAAAATATCATAAAATGTAGCTTTGCTAACCCAATAAAAAAACAATCTAAAATATACAATACATTAAAAACATTCAATACAATAATACAATAAAAACATCCCAGCAGACAATTGCCACGTGAGGCTGCGTTTAAATAGGACCCTACTAAGGACACTCACAGCAGAGGGAACAAATAGGCCTGTCACGATAACAAATTTTGCTGGTCGATTAATTGTCTCAAAAATTATTGCGATACAATAATTAATAATTATTGTCAAATTGAAGAAGAAATGTTGGATAATTTTTGTGTGTGGTACCTTTTTTGACCACTGGATGGCAGTATAAGACTGTTTGAACCGAAGGATGGATAGTGAGGGAGCGAGCAGCCTGTCTCTTTAAGAAAAATGGGAGGGAGGCCCATTGACGTGACATGGGCTGTCTCTCTTTCCTATTTTTCAGTTCTCAAAATGGCGGACGCTCGGTGTGGTTTGAGCTCTTTAGCATAGCATTTTTCATACAAAGCTTAAAATAAGAAAAATCAGTAAACAAGTTCTCAGCTTATCCTGATGCATGCTCAAGAAGTTCTCAGATTCTTTTTGCAGAGAAAAACAAACGTTTCAGACGAAGGCACGGGTTTCAACCGTGAATTTTGGAGCTTCAACAAGAAGGAGGTTTTTTCCAGAGATCGGCCTGTTAGCTTAGCTCGTAGCTTAGCTTCTCAGCTTCGCTGCTTTTAACAATCCAAAAACACGATTTTGGACAGTTAAAACAGATTTTAAAGAGAAAAGAGAAAGGGAGGGGTCAGTGAAGAGCACAAGAGTTGAACTTTTTGTCATCCAGTGTCTTCAGTAGAAAGAGAGAGACACGAAGAAACGATAAAGCTGATAAATGAAAATGAGGTCAATAATTTTCATTTATCATGCTATTAATTGATTTCTTGTTTATTGTGACAGGCCTAGGAACAAATTACATTTTGTACACATTTTTCCTTACCAGAGGAACCACCAGTCTTCTGCCAGATGGTACCAACCTGAATAATGGTGGCAGTGGATGAGTTGGGTCATTGTAAACCTGGATAGACTTTTTTTTCCAGAACCTGACTGTACAGGTCTGTAAGTTTCATTTGTGGCTGACCAATGACTGTACTACCTTGTGTGACCACCCCAGACAACTTGTTCCTGTCTCTGACTAGGACGTTCCCATACCATGAGACAATATTAAAGGAAACAATACTTTCAACCAGTGATCGGTACACCAATTGTAAAGTAATTTTGTAATTACAGATATGATCATAAATAAACTTTTACTTTTATATTACCATGCCTTTCAAACAAACTAGGACCTCTTATTAAAATCTATGTCATGAAATTCCATGGTTTAATTGTTTATTTGGAGGCATTTTACTTATTTGCTTTATGGCAAAAATGTACTTTTCCTACTCAATTTGGTAGTTGCAATCATTACTTTTTGATACTTTTTATTGACATTTCCTTAATTTAAATGACAAATCGTTGCATAATGTATATTACTGTAGCTGGTCATTTTAACCAAACAAACCAAATCATTATTTTATTCAATTTATCCCACTGTTGATAATTTTAGGCAGCAAGATAATTTTTCCTTCTTTCTTTCATCCACTCACTATCAGCTGATGGAAAAAAATGTTATTTTTGTTTATACGGTAAGTGGTTTTGCTTATGCTGTGTAAAGATAAAAATAAAAATAATATCTTATATCTTGGAAACTGAAGCTGTCCATGTTAAAATAAGTAACAGACACTCAGGTAATTGACCAGACAGCCTAAAAACAGAGCAATCAGTTTCTAAATCATTCAAGCACTGACAGTCTACATAAAAAGGGATGAACAAAAAGACAAATAATCTAAATTTAAGCTGGTGAAGATTTTTTGTCATTTAGATTAAAACCACTCTAAGTTTTGAAAAAAAAAATATATAGGGACAATCGAGATTTAGTTTATGTTTGACAGAGATTAAAGAAAAGAAAATTAAACATCTTGTCACATTTCCTCATGAAAATGTAGGAGTGTGAAGGAGCATCTTTAAGAAATACTGCTTCATTTAGGACATGATATTCAACCTGTTCAAGCCAAATTAAAATAATTCACTGCATGCAATAGGTTTCAAATGTACAGCTACAGTACTTAGTAGCCTTGCTAATGTTGTTTTATAGTATACTTGTATACATTTACTTTGGTATTCTTTGCAAAGTTATGAAGCCTCATAAAAAATTATAAAGAAACTAAAATTTTAACAATTTATTGCTCATATTGAGGGTTAATGTATGTTTACAGCAAAACAAATTGTAAGCAAATTTTGTGTACTACTGCCACCTACTACATGCATTTGTTAGCATACAGAAAAATCACTGTTTACACTGAGCGCGTACCTGCATCAGATCAACATATCAGGAAAACTACGGGAGTAAACTCTTACAAATTGCATTATTTGATGTGGGTCAAGATTTCAGATTGTTTGAGTTTGCTACAATTACCATTAAATAAAAATTAAAGATGGTATGCATTTTTTTTTTCCAATTCAACTAATTTAGTGCATTTGATGAAGGTAATTACAGCTTTAAAAAATACATAAATATCCACATGAAAGGCTGTTGTATCTGTTTTTATGAAAAGTCAAAAAGGATAAATCATATCACTCTAAACCAGGCAGTTTAATAAGTATATTTTAAAATAAAATATGCTGGGGGGGAGGTTCTACCACTAAAATTTAAAAATAAAAATATCATGGTAACTTCACCTATCATTCAACAATGTAAGTAATACTAAAAAACAAAAGTGTCTACTCGTTTGAGAATGCCTAAAAGAAAATTTTATGAACATTTGGGTCGCAGGAAAATACACAACGTATGCATATTATACCTATACTACTTAGCATAGTAATAGTACGTTTATAAAGAGGTAGCTTTAGCTAACAACAACAACATACTCCCGAGTATAATTTAGCTTGAAGTTTACTTGTTAGCATTTACTTGTGCTAAAACGTATGTGTTCAATGCTACAGCTATGTTTACATGGTAGCTAAGTGTAGCACACGATTAATGTATCTGTGTAAAAGTTGTTTTATTTGCCAAACTCAAAAATAGCTTACCTTTCCACACACCTCCTCAGTAGCATGCTCAAAGTACAACCCAATTTACTCTTAAAATCCCGGCAACTCGGACGAAGCGTCATTCGACGCTTTCACTCAGGGTCTATGGGTATTGTAGTTTTATTTTGTAGAATCTAAGCTTTAAACTGCAGAGTAGCGACGTGAAAAGAACTACATTTCCGCTAAGCTAATTTGTGCGTTTGATTCATTCACGTGGGCACACCGGTGTAGCTTTTCACTGAAACGCCACGATAATGTGTACACTTCTGTTTAACGGGCCAGGCTGGACTAGCTATCATTCACCCTCCAACAAAGTCTACATTGTGTGACTGAGCTCTTTTCATAGCTCGTAAAGTGTTTGCTTTGAAAAGCTACACGGAAAAACGAAGACTGTTAGCTAGTAAGTTTGTGTGTAATATTTGAAAAAAATCGTGGCTGGAGCAGACATTTAACGAACGTCAAATTCCCATCGTTTACTCCCACAGTTTTTAGCACAAACAAGGCTGAAGGCTGACTGGGCTGCATGTCAATGGAGACTCGCTTAAAAACATCAACGGGAGAGAAGGTACTTTTTTTTGTTTTTTTCCAAATTTGACAGAAATAATAAAACATGTTTGTCATTCGTTTACTGCTACACTGTTCAACTCAAACTAGCTGTTTGGTGCTTCATAGCTGAAAGTTTATTGAAGTTTGGTACAAAGTTTGTACAAATAATGATGTGCATTTATGTTTAAACTGATAAGTTTAGGGTTTTATCTCACACTCTTTATACTTTCTGTAATGCATAGTGTTTGCTTGCTTCACTAAAGCTGCAGTGTGTGGTTTTCTGCATTTTAATCTGTGTGCTTCTGCAGGAATTGCATCCACCTCCAGCACCCAGTAGATTAGTGTCTAACAGCATGTCCCTGCCATCCTATAAAGACTATCCAGCTCACCGTCCCTTCATCAACACGCTCGTGCATCATACACCCCAAACACGCACTCCGTATCGTCCAGCATCACCCAGCAAAGCTTTCCCAGAAACCAGCAGTGCAGGTAAGCTCATTTGTTTAAGCGTGCGTTGCCAAATTTTCCATTCAAACATTGTGTCGGAGCTCCATGGTTACACATGCAATGCGATGCCACACTACTTGAATGTCCCAGCTGCGCAGGCATCCTTTCATCCCGTAAATCATTCACCTTATCTATTGGTTTTATCTTATCTTTAAATCCCATCCGCATCGTATTTTTGTGTCTTGCTCGTTTCCTTTTGTGCCCCTGCAGCGATCCTATCTGCTTTGAGGAACCTCCAAGAGAAGATCAGGAGGTTGGAGTTGGAGAATGAGCGCACAGAGCTCAGTCTGCGTACTGCAGGGAAAGATACTTCACACACACTTCTCCAGAAAGATGCACAGAGACGCTTAAATGATCAGAAAGCTGCAGAAACAAAGACTAATGGCCGATCCACCTGCAACCAAGGTGAGCACAGTCATAGTGTGCCATCTTTTAAATTTACTTTTTATTCTAGTTTCTCACATTTTGTGCATACATCTTGTTTGTGTCTAACAATTTAACTTTACTTTTAGTGTTGATCACCCACCTGGCTGCTGCAGAGTCCCGCTGTGAGAAGCTGGAGCAACAGTTGGACCACATGAGAAGGATGTTGCGTAGTACCAGAGCAGAAAAGCCTGACCACCACAATTATCAGGTAAATTCTCTATCTCAAATTAGATTTAAGTAACTTTTACCATGTTCTTTATTAAAAAATACACAAAAGCTGGTGCATGTGAATTGTTGTGTTCTCTTTTAGGTTTTTACGGAGAGAGCCGGTGCAGCTGATAAACAGCCTAGTGCAGTTCCTGAGCATGCTCACATGGAAAAACTGAAGCGACTTGAACAGGAATATCTCAGGATGAATCGTACACAGACGACTGCAGAGGTACTTTAAATGCACAGAAACTTTGACGGTTAAAATATAACTACTGACTACTACTCCTTGTTATAAAGAGGAGCATACTGTCAGAGCCACATGATGCCCAAGCACATTAATAATGGCAAAAATGTACTTCTTGACAACAAAGTAATCAACATTTTAAGCCTATAAAATAAATAAATTAATTCCTCAAGCTTACCATCTGGTGGAAAGACCAACCTTTTTTGTGATGATTGTTCAGTTATTTTGTACCATGATGGACATTTTGATTTGTTCAGGTTTCAGAAATGTTGCCAAAATGGACTAAAATAGAACAAGTCCGCACTAAATGAACTTCTCACAGCTCACATCAGTTAGAGCCTGTGTGTGAAACCATGCCATTCCTCAGAGGTGTTCAGAATTTTGTGTTGAAACTTCAACTCACACTTCAATACTTTTTTATTTACATATTGTCCAACTGATCAGAACTTAATTTATCTCTAAATAATAATTAGAATAAAACTGCATTTGGATGAATATTGTTTTGAAACTAGCCCCATTTAGTTACCTTCAGAAGGATTTGCTGTTACAAGTAGAATATTGTGTTATTTTGGCATTATATGTTTTCTATTTAACACAGTAATGATGAGTGCGAGTCTGATTATGACAGGGGAAGATTTGTGAGTTGGAGAAGAGGCTACAAGAAGAGGAGCATCAGAGAAAGCTCATTCAGGATAAAGCCAGCCAGGTAAGATGTTGACTGCTGTTTTTAATTTTATTTAATTTCCTTGTGTTTATGGTAGCTCAAATCTTTTCTTTTTTATTTATTTTATGTATGTATTTTCATTCTTTATTTTTCATTGTATCATCAGCTAGAAACTGGTTTGGAGGCCAACAGGATCTTGCTGCGGTCCGTGTCTCCACGTCTGTCCATCAGACGACCTAAAGAGAAGAATCCTGATTCGGAGGTAAAAGCTTTACATGGACGGCTCAGGATTCTTCACAGTTTTACTGCGAACATTTCTTTTTGTATTATCCAGCACAGAGTCCATGTGTTACTGTTGTAATGAAAAGTTTCTGATTTAAAATAAAATTGGTTTAAATTATTTTTCTCTTTGTTCTTAACAAAAAACAAAACATAAAATGTTCCTGTTTTAAAACAATTTAGACATTTTGTAAAATGTGGAAAGAATTTTTTAAAATTAAATTTAAATAAAAATCGTGAAATATATATAT